AACCTGGTCATGCGTGGGTCGACATCCAACCATTGAGCCACACCGGCCGGGCATCATTTGCTTTTTTTTAAGAAATACTTTTGTTTGTATGTTGTGTTTTTCATTATATCCCAAAACAATGTATTGAGTAGTTTTGCATATTTTTGGACTTTATAGACGTGGAATCATACTGCATGCATTTTCTGCAACTTGCATTTTTCACTCAAATGTTTGCTTGTGACATTTGCCCACGCTGTTGTGTGTCACTGTGATTGATTCTTTTTCTCTGTTCTATTGTGCCAGATTGTAGGAATGCACCACAGTGTATCTGTTTTACTGTGGATGGACATTTGGCTTGGTTCCATTTCTGTAATGATTCTCGTGTGTGTTTCTGGCATGCGAGTTCAGGATGTCCAGGGTAGACTCCTAGCTATGGAGCTGCTGGGTCACGGGGCTTGTGTACCTCACTCTTACTAGGTAATTCCAAATGGTTTCCCAAGTGCTTGCGCCGGTTTACACCCCCACCAGCAGTATGTAGTGTTCTGCTTTCTCTATATCATGGCAAACACTTGATTTGTCAAACCCTGTAACTTTCGCCAGTCTGGTAGGTGTGGAATAGTATTTCTTTGTGGTCTTAATTTTGCTTTTCTCCTGATTACAAGTGAAGTTGAGCATATTTTCATTCGGCTGTGGCTGACTGTATTTCTTCTTCTGTGATGAGCCAGTCAAGTCTTCTCTATTGGGATCTATGTCTTTAAAAAATTTTTTATTTTTTGTAGGGAGTCTTTGTAGATTTTAGCCACTACCTGGGCTCTAGTCAGGGAGGCTCCTCTGGTCTCCTAAGGGGTAGAAGTCTGACCAGCAGCCTCGCGGACCTGAGTTGGAAGTAGGCAGGAGGTGGGTGGTGGCAGTGCCTCAAAATCCAGCCTGTGACCATCAGCTCATCCCCTCATGTCTTTAACACGCTATCCCTAGCTCGGCTGTCGCGAGTGGCCTGCTTTTTTGCGCCTTCTGGAGGCCACGCCTCTGCTCTTTAGCCAAGGCAACGCTAAGGGAATGACGGGGTGGGGTCTCCCTTACATGACTTTCATCAGGTCCCTGTGTTCAGCCCCTACTCCGTCTCCATTCCCCAAGGTGCCTGGAGCCGGTTCAGGATTCAGTCACTATCATTCATCTGCTTTCCAGGGTCCATCAGTGTGCTATTATTGTCTTGACCCTGTTCGCCTTGATCCAGGGCTTTAGCATTACCACGAGTCTCTTTTCCATTTTTGTGGCTCTTGAGGGAGCAGAGGCTGATTGTGTTTAGTCTGCCATCTTTAACCAGAGCCCTAACATTTCTTGAAATAAAAAAGGCATCTTCATAGGGCAAAGATTGGAAATCATTGCTCCCGTTTTCTTACTCCCTCCTATCCCTTGTATAAAAACCTTGTACTTTGTATCTGAATTTCACAGGTCTTTACTATCTGCTCGTTAATCTGAGTATTTACTCTGACTAATTAACTGGTGTAAATAATAACCAGACACATAATAAAGTACTCATTGCTCATGAGACTGTGCTAAGCCCAAAGCATGTTGCTTACCTCCTAATGTGAGGATGTGAGAAGTAAATTGTACCACTCTTTAGAAAACAGTGCTATGGTTTGCATCATAGGGTAAAAAAGAATTGTTTTTCTTTTTTAAAAAATGTTTAGTTGATTTTTTTAAAGAGAGAGGAAGGGAGAGATAGATAGAAACATCCTTATGAGAGAGAAATATTGATCGACTGCCTCTTGCACGCCCCCTACTGGGGATTGAGTCCAAAATCGGGGCATGTGCCCTGACTGGGAATCGAACCGGGACTTCTCGGTCCATGGGGCAAAGCTCAGTCCACTGAGCCACACTGGTCTTTTTTATGAGCCCATGACTCTGTTATTGACTGGTTGCCTTTTTCAAGGTACCAGGCATCATTTTTCTTTTCTTGGAAGAGGATTTCTTCAGGCCATCATTCAGCTCATGTGCTTTGCTAAGGATCTTTGGGGATAACATCTGAGTCACTCATAAACCTAGAATTTGAGAGACAGACTGTTCACATCCAAATTGCAGTGGGATAAGGACTCTGGGAAGCCTGGAGAGGAGGCGCCCTGTGACATCTCTGGAATCGGGGGGACACACCAACAGGAGCTTTAAACACTTATCCGTGCAGGCGATGGGGTGGGGTGCACACAACACGAGGGAGACTGGCATCTGTAACTGGGCAGAGGGGACCTGGGGGATTCAGCAGACAGGTTCTTCTCTGGGTGGTCTGCGCATTTTCATTCCTAAGGTTAATGTTCGGGATGGCTTTTCTGCTGTAACAGCTAAGGGCCTGGGGTGTCCTTTCTCCTCCCTCTTTGTGCTCCTCCAGCTGTTCCTGGGCTTAGTCATTTCTTTTAACTGCTCTTTACAGTGACAGATGGCCATAGGTGGCCAGGCCTTGAAGTGTGTTGGTGTATTCACATAAATACAAATATTTGCCTCTAAAATATAGGTGGAGGCAGATGTGGCCAGACTTTCTTTTGTAGGGTTTGGTTGCAACAAGCATGTTACGTAAAAATAGAAAAGAACAAAACATGATACTTTTTACATCCTAATGTTGCTACCAATTAGTTTTTAAATCTAAAATAGTGGTGATGGATATTGAAATATCTGGAGTGCCAATACCCGGATAATTCACTGCCAAATTTCCTTTTTACATCTATAAGTCATGACATGGAAGAAACTTGACTCGCCCAGGGGAGAATGTGTTTGGAAGGTATATTTAGAGAAGCCTGTTGAGGTCAGCATAGGGGACCCCAGATGACATGCTCAGGATCAGCAGGTGTTCCAGAGGGCTTCTAAGGAGAGGGGGTCCTCGTTTTACTCAATACCGAGATGGTCAGGTCTCTAAACTTGGAGGTTAGGAAGCTGCCCTGTGCCTATGCTGTTCTTAACAGTGCAGCGGAGAAGAATGCGACTTTATTCTTTCATTTATCTATTCATCATTTCAGACACCTTTATTGAGTCCCTTCTCTCTGTGTTATCTGTCAGTTCAACTGCTGAATCATTGGGTAATAGTCAACACCGCACTGCTCCTGGGGCATTGGTGGTCTCCATGAACAGACCGTGGAGAATTCAAAACTCATATACATACATTTTTAAAAACGCTGAACTTTAAAGAAATTGCTCTGGGACACTCGAGTCTGTGCTGTTAGACGTTCCCCTCACCACTAGATTCTGTGCGTGCGCTCCCCAGACACACACAATATGCTGGGAGAACTCAGAGGACAGAGAGAAGCTCTCTGGCAGTGGACAGAGTCAGCGACCACAGCAGGCTTTCTGGAGACGGGACTGGAGGTGAGTCTCAGAAGATTGGGAGTATGTTAGGGAGGGGTTGATGCCAGGTGTTGGGTTGAGTGGGGACATGCCAGGTGAGGGGATGGCACAGTCCCAGCCCAAGGGTGGAAAGCCAGCCAGTGGACCAGCGTGGCTGAGCTGCAGAAGAGGGAGGGATCAGATCTGACTCGCACATGGGGATCAGTGGGCAAGAGCCAACTATCAGCTATCCTGTCCATTACTGGGAATTTCCGACGATTCTGGGTATAGTCAAATAAATGCTTTAGGGAGGTTCACTGGGGGAGGGTATGCAACGGTGGAGGTGAGTGTAGAGACCAGGTAGTTTGGTTTAGTGATTCCCACTCAGAGATGCACTTCAGAGTCACCCCTGGAGCATTTTCAATTGCCCGGGCTGGGACCCCGCCACTGGGGGCTCTGATTCAGGAGGTCTGGTGTGGAGCCCAGGAAATCCATGTTCAGGAAAAGCTCTTCATTGTATCGCATTCCCTGGTGAGACACCCGAGATGGGAGGGGACCGCAACAGTCTGCTCTTCAGGGAGGGAGACTTGGGTTTAGGGCGGTGGCGATGGAAATGGGAAAGAAGGGCTCCTTGTGGACCGACTGTCAGAGTGAGGAGCAGCCCTGGCCGGTTTGGCTCAGCGGTTAGAGCGTCGGCCTGCGGTCCAGAGAGACCCGGGTTCGGTTCCCGCTAAGGGCACGTACCTCGGTTGCAGTTTGTCCCCGGCCCTGGTTGGGTCGTGTGGGTGGCAGCCACTCGATGTGTCCCTTTCACGTCGATGTTTCTCTCTCTCTCTCTCTCTCTCTCTCTCTCTCTCTCTGTCTCTCTCTCCCTCCCTCCCTCCCTCCCACTCTATCTGAACAAAAAATGGAAAAATGTCCTCGGGTGAGGATAAAAAAATAAATAAAAATCAATAAAACAAACAAAAAATAAAACAATAATGATGGTAATGTCAGCAATACCAGTGTACAAAAATATCCTTTTTTTTTAACGTGTCCACTAAGATCTTACAGAATTAAGTAGTTGGTGGAATTACCTCCCAGGAAAGGGACAAAGAGGGGTTGCTGCCGTCACAAGCAAGTCGGGGAGCCCAGCATGTGCTGCTCCAGCAGGTGCACAGGCCGGCGTCACACGTACGGGAGCAGCAGGCTGTGCTCTGACACCGTTCACGTCTTCCTCACTCTTTTTTTTTTTATCCTCACCCGAGAACATTTTTCCATTTTTCTGTTCAGATAGAGTGGGAAGGAGAGAGAGAAAGAGAAACATCGACGTGAAAGGGATACATCGAGTGGCTGCCACCCGCACGACCAGGGCCGGGGACAAACTGCAACCAAGGTACATGCCCTTAGCGGGAACTGAACCCGGGTCTCTCTGGACCGCAGGCCGACGCTCTAACTGCTGAGCCAAACTGGCCAGGGCAAGCTGGTCCTTTTTGTCACGGAACAAAGACTGGTGAAAATACTCACACTGCCATCATCGGGATCGTGGAACTCGGATCCGATGAACAGACGTACTTATCATTTGATTTTTTTTGTTTACATGATTCAGCATTTTGATTTGCAGTGACCATTTTTGAAAAAATGAAGCATTTCTGGGTAGTGACGGGTGTTTCTCCGGAATGTTCCTGGTCTGTGGCCTGGTTGACTGACTGTGGTGTTTTCCTCGGCCGCAGTGTAAGGTAAGAACACGGGATCCCAGAAATGTCCACGTGGGTTGGCCCGGCGTGAAGTCTCAGAGGACAGGACCGAGGGCGTGTTTAGGAATGGGAAAGACACAGCCACATCTGCGGACATCAGTCTCCCAAGGTGAGGGAAGAAGCCCAGCCATGCTGCCGCCCCTAACCTGGTACAGACCAATAAAATGTTCATTCGTATGAACGTCACCGAAGCACTGTTTTCAGCCTGAATCACCTCTGTTTCCTTCCCATTAAAACCCCAGCTCTCGCCCTGGCCGGTTTGGCTCAGCGGTTAGAGCATCAGCCCGCTGACCCAAGGGCACATACCTCGGTTGGGGTTCAGTCCCCAGCCCTGGTCGGGTTGTGCAGGAGGCAACAGGGCAATCATTGTGTCTCTCTCGCATCGATGTTTCTCTCTCTCTCTCTCCCTCCTTCCCTCCCTCACACTCCATCTGAAGATAAATGGAAAAATATCCTTAGGTGAGGATTAAAAAAAAAAAAAAAATCCCAGCTCTCCAGCATACGGTCAGCCCCCCAGTGCCTGCCTTACCTTGCAGCCCCTCCGTTCCTGAAGGTGCCGCCCTCCCCATGATTCCCTGCCTTGTTCTTTTGCCCTTTGCTTATAATGCCCTACTTGCCCATTTCACTCAGTCAAAATCATACTCATGTGTCTGTCAAGGCCTCACTCAATGTCACCTCTATCAGGAAGCCTTCCAGACCCCCACAGTCATTCAGCACACGTATAAGGAGCATCCGCCATACGCCAGGCACGATGCTGATGTTGTAAATAAAGACGCACAGGACACAGTCCCTTCAGGGGACCACATGTGTGCTTCTGTAGCCCACACAGTAGGTGTGCCCGCTAGTATTCTGGCAGAATTAAAGCAAAACACAGCTCTCTCCTTCCTAAAAGTCCCCAATTTCCTGTTGCCACACACTGAATCAGTGGCTCAAGGGAGGGTGGAGAAGTGGGTGGTGTGATATTGTGATTTATAATAAGAAATATACATTTGGTCCTCGTCCATGGTTTCTGGCTCACAGCCCCCGCAAACCCTTGGTGTTTCCTGAGCAATAAGAGCAATGGGAGCATCTTTTATTATACGTTTCTTCACCCTTACATCCTGAAATAGCTTCTACGCCGTAAAGGTGAACTGGATGTCTTGTTGTCCCTAACAAGCCCCTTTCAACCACACCAGTTAATGTTGATGTGGTGACGTTTGGAAAGCCCCTAAATCCTTAGGAAGAGGGCAGGTTGCCAGGGGAGCCAATCACAATCAGTGGGTGGGAATTTTCAGTGCCCCCTCCCTACCTCTGGTGATGGGGGAGGGGCTGGAGATTGAGCTCAGCCATCATTGGCCAATGATGTAATGTAATCAATCATGCCTCTGTAATGAAGCCTCCAGAAAACTCCAAAAGGAGGAGGTTCAGAGATCTTCCAGGTTGATGAGCCAGAACCCATCTATGTTCCAGGAGAGTGTGCACCCCAAACTCCCTGGAGACAGAAGCTCCTGTGTTCTGGACCCTTCTGGACCTCACCCTGTGTACCTCTTCATCTGGCTGTTCATTTGTTTCTTTTCTTATTCTTTGTAACAAACCAGTAATCTAGTGTGTTCTATGAGCTACTCTAGCAAATGTATCAAACCCACGGAGGGGTGTTGGGAACCTCTGGTTTCCATACAGTCATTTGGTCAGAAGCCCAGGTAACACCTGGACTTATGATTGGCACCTGAAGTGGGGGGATAGAGTTAAATTTAGGATACCCGAGCCTGTGTCACAGAATTGCTTAATGTGTGGAAATCCCCACTCTTCCCCTTATCTCTCTTTCCCCCAAGCATTTGGTGATCAAAGGTGCCAACAGTATTTAGAGAGTACGGTGTGTACTGTAAATGAAAAAGGGAGAATTTTCTTTTTCAGGTGGGAGGGAAGTGTACATGGGAATGAGCTGGTTCTTCTTTGTAGGATCTGAACCCAGAAACGCTAAAGGGGATCTAGTAACACTCGGATGACCGGGGACTCCGGAAACTTTAGGGCAAATACTCTGCTTCCCTGGGAGGCTGTGAAGCTCACAGAGAAGTCTGAATTTGGCATGACCAATTTGAGAGCGTCTTGAGTAGCGTTCCTCCCAAATTCATGTGCACCTGGAACCTCAGAGTGTAACCTTATTTGGAAGCAGGGACTTTGCAGATGTCGTTAGTTAAGGTCGTTAGTTAAGGATCTCAAGCTGAAATCATCCTGGATTTAGGGTGTGCCCTATACCCAGTGACGGGTGTGCTTATGAAAAGAGGGGAGGACACAGAGCAGCCCCGGGAAGAAGGCCGCGTGAAGTGGAGGTGGAGCCTCGGTTTATGCTTCCACAGCCAAGGAACCAACGACTAGAAACGAGGAGGCAGGAAGGATTCTGCAGCAGAGACCTGGAGGGGAAATGACCCTAGTGACAGCTTGATTTTAGACTTCAAGCTCCCAGAACTGGGAGGGGACACATTTTTGCTGCTTTGAGCCCCAGTCTGAGGTCTGGATTACAGCAGGCCTAGGAATGAATGCGCGGGGAGCAGACGGTGGTGCTGCAGCTGTGGGCCATCTCCTGCTTGCCCCCCCCACCTGCCGATGGGTGGGCCATCTCCTGCTTGCCCCCCCACCCCGCCCCCGCACCTGCCGATGGGTGGGCCATCTCCTGCTTGCCCCACCCCCGCACCTACCGATGGGTGGGCCATCTCCTGCTTGCCCCGCCCCCGCACCTGCCGATGGGTGGGCCATCTCCTGCTTGCCCCACCCCCACACCTGCCGATGGGTGGGCCATCTCCTGCTTGCCCCCCGCCCCCCGCCGATGGGATTCGGGACCTTCACAGGCCGCACGGGAAGCCGACATGCTGCAGGAGCCTCTGACAGGGAGGATTCAGGCATCAGGACAGGAAGGTCATGGGGAAGGCGCGCGACCCAGGGCTTCAGCGCTAGGGGCAAGCACAGCACATAGAACGCTGAGGGGGATCAGCCACAGCGTGGGCGCTGAGGGAGGCCATTAGCATCCAGACGAGACCAGGACACCTCAGTGGAAGCCAGAGGACCGTATGCGGACCACAGGTCCATGCCGGCTGCCACCAGGATACCGGTGTGCCCTGTACTCCACGGCATCTTGAGAAGGCATAGGTGCGGGGCCCAGGCCCCTTCGGAAAGGGGAAGCAGGCCTGATAGGGGGTTTGAACTTGGCAAGTGAGTGAATATTTACCTGAAAGAAATGTTTCTGATTTAGAAGAGCCCCAGTTGTTTTTTATTGGAAAATTGAAGATTTGTGTATGTGTGTTGTCATTGGGGCTTGAGCACAAGATAGGAATAGTTCTAGAAGATATTTTTTATAATGTTTGTATATTTGAGTTTTGGTATAGAAATGTCAACCTCAATTCCACGTCACCCCTAAATAGTTACCATTTCCTGTGTGTGTTTCCTCCACCTAAGGGCAGAGATGGTATCATACATCTTCAAATGTCTGTGTCCCCAAGACCTAACGGGGCAATCATGACACATCGTATGTTCTCGTTAAAGATTTGTTGAGTGAATGAGAAATCCAAATTGTGTAAAAAAAATTTCCTTTAATTTTTCCTCAGTATGTTTCATGTTATTTTCCAGTTTTATTAAGATATAGTTACCTAAACCATTGTATTTGTAGCCCAAGGTGTCCAACAAAATGATTCGATGTATGCATGTTTTGCAGAATGGTTACCGCAATAACATCAGCTACCTCACCTAGTTACAGATGCCTTTTCTTGTGGTGAGAACTGTAGATTTCCTCTCCTAGCAACTTGACGCACTCAGTACAGTGTTGTTGACTCCAGTCACCATGCTGCATGCGGCATCTCCAGAACTTACTTGTCTTCTAACTGGAACTTGTACACCTCCACGCGTTTTTTCTTCTTTCAAGTTTTAAAGACTTCAGACTTGCTTAGGGCCTTTGCCTGGGACCTGCACATCACAGGAGTGTGAGGTCGGGGAGCAGGCACAGGGTCCAGGGGCAGCCAGGACGGTGGCGGCGGCGCTAGTTATGACATCCGAGTGAGAATCCCACTCAGGGCCCCTCCACGCACAGGAATCATGGCTGTGTCAGTGAATAAATCAGAGATGAAGGAGAGGAATTTTCAGGAACAGCATAGTTTCTGGTAGGGTCTTTGCTGCTACTTTAAAAAAAAAAAAAGTGTTTTTTCCCACCGTGTCAATTAATTCCGATGTAAATAACCATTCGGACAGCCAGGAATCTGAGAGCAGAGGTGTCAGCAACCTGTCCCGAGTAGTTAGCTGGATGTTTGCTCCTGCTGCATTTTGCTCAGCACCAGGCAACACGACTTATTTCTCAGCTCGGACTTGATGGTGCTGATTCTAGGAGTTAAAAAAAGATTTCGGATTTTGGTGGCAGGCCTCTCGGGCTATGGAACCTATTGCGAGAGTAACGGCCGGCCCTAGAAACTTCTGTTCTCAATTCTTAGGCTGATTTAGCATTAAGCCTTGGGCCAAGCCACTAGCTTCTCCCTGACCCACTTTTTTGGGAGCCATTAACAGGGGATCAACATTCCAGATCTCTGTGAGAATTGATTCGAAGCCTGAGCTCTGGGGATGAAAGTGGCTAAGTGAGCACAATTATTGCTGCTCAGAGAACCCCAAAATGCACCTGTCGAAACTTCCTTTTCTAAGTTGGACTCTGTTATCGCCTCCTCTTTGCCTGGACGTCAGAGCAAATGCCTGATTCCACGGGGCAGAAGCTCAGTCCTCTCCACAGCCTCTGCCCCAGAAGGCCCTGAATTCCCAGCATCTCTGTGCTCATGTCCCGTTCAAGGGCACCGAGAGGTGTAACATCTTTATTATCATGCTTCTACATTCTGAATCAAGATAATGCTTTAATCTCCTCACATGAGATGGAATATGTGGGGTTCGATGAGATATGAGTTACATGCTTTCCACATGCAGGCAAAAGTGAGTTTGTCCTGGGTGAGCTGCAGGCTGCAGCCTCTTTTTGAAGCTGACTCTTGGAGGGTTTGCTCGGGCTGATTTTGCATGGATTATTTGTTGACATTTGGGCACTTTTATCTCTGATGGATGATCTTCAGGCTAGAGCAATA